AATGCTTTCAGGTCACAGTGCATGTGTGTACCTTTCAGGGAGTGTTTGTGTATAAGTGTGTGTGTATTTCTAAACCGCAGAGAGGCGGGTAAAGCCATAGAGGCCAGTAGTGATGAGTGATGCCAGAGGTGGTTTTCTACCAACCTCTCCGCTGGCTTGCTGGCTCTCTAATGGCCTTCTCAGTGGGCTTACTGACCGACTTGGTGGCTCTCAGTGGCTGTGTCTTCCTTATTTGGTAGTGGAAGGTGGGGGATGGCAGTGGCAGGGTGGTGGATGGGAGAGCAGTGGTACTCTGTTTACATGCAGGGGCAGAAGGTCAGAGTGCCAGAGTGCTATGGACCAAACGCAAATAACTTTAAGACAGTAAGTGAGCAGGCAAGTCATTGCTTCACGGTAGCGACTGGATGAATCAGAGCAGAGTGTGTGCGCATGCATGCACGTGTCAGAGTATTTGAGAGGGAAAGGGTGGATAAGAGTAAACACTTTAGTGAGGGAGGCCTGAGAAAAAAAGGTTTTACTACAGGTAATTTCCACTCATATGGACACACTGTTCTCTCTTTCCCCTCTCTTGCTCTCAGGCCCGGACAATTGAGAGGAGTCAGTAGAAAGGAAATTAAAGGCAACCATCCTTATAGTTTTACTCTTGTCCGCTTGACTGCTTGCATGCCTGCCTGCTTGCTTGCCTGCATTCCCTGGGCAATGTTTATGCTGTGCCCTGCCTAGGACAGAATAGATTCGCCCACACAGCACTGTGCTCTCAACCAGAACCTAAGTAGGTCTGGCAAGTCCGAGCCATAGTCCCATTCACTTGCACTCCTCTGGATTAGGCTCTATATCCTGGGGCAACAGTGCAATGACTGCATTAATAGACCTAGATAGCATCTCTCCATCCCCACCCTAAATTGTATATCCATTTTCTTTGTTTCATATCAGCAGGTTGTTTGTTCTCTTCCATCAGCTTCGTTTAAGTTTTGTTACACAGTTTGGCAAATCACGAGAGACACTTAAGTTTTGAGTGCGTATAGATTCAAAGCCACGGGGGACGTATGAAATGCTGCATAATTATGAAGCCAAACTCAGCATAACAGGTTGCCAGAACTTGTGACAGAGCTGATGATTGAGCGATGAAAGAAATTAAGCTTAACGAGTTTCAGAGAGGACCTTTATTAAAATGCACCACACTGCATAGTTTCACATCATCACTCTGAGGAGAGAATATATAGTAAAACATCCTTCATTTCCAAATACCATGAAATTACACGTGCTAGCATAATCAGATTCATTGCCTAAAAAACTCGAGGTCAATTTACATTTCTTTAAATGCCGCAACAAATAACTGGGTGTATAGCGTGCATAATTGAATGATGCTAATTCATCACTGCATTTTTTGGTCCACTCTTTATGATGTATATTAGGGTTGTTGCTAGTACAGTAATTGTGTAGTAAAAGCACTGCTGTGAAGAGGATGGTGGCAGAAGGGCACATTATCCAGCCTGTCAGACTACCAGTGCCACGCTACGGATAACACTGCTCTGAGAGAACACAGTGCCTCTTGACGCCAGCTGTAAAGATTAGCAGAGCTTTGTTTAATTGTGCCGCTAACATCCTAGGAGCCACTTAAGAGCTACTGCTCTCTTTTCCTTCGAAACTGTCTTTAAAGCTCAGCCAACAGTTGCTGTTGTCTGCTCATTCAGGTGCAAAGGCCTTATGGATTTGTCCAATTCAGGTACACTTAGAGGAGCTCACATCTCCCTCCTGCTGAGGAAGGCAACTGAATCGGCAACGCAGCCAAGCCATTACCGAAACACTTAAAACAGTGAACTGAAATAGATGTCAAAAATTAAACGAAAGACGCCGCATCCAATTTGGGCAAATAGCTGCTGTTGATCATGCAGTTTTAGCCAAAGTGGCCCCACTGGTGGCCCACAGTGCCCGTCTTTGTTCAAATGAAATCAAACTGAAGTGTTTTGCAGCTGTGAAAACAAATAGCTATTTTGTCCAGTTAGATGCTTACTAGGCAAAATAAAATGGCTTTTCATTATTAAGGCCATTTTCCCTGGAGGCTTAAAAATGAGATTTGGTTTATGAAAGACTTGAAGCACGTCAATCACTGCATTGTCCTGGTTTCTCACAGCATCATAAACCTTTCACAATTACTTTGTAAACATGTATCCAGGCCCATCGTGTGCTTATACTGTTGAAGTGTGAAACACATTATATATAGCACTAACAAGACAAAAGACTAAAAGGACTGTAATCAGTAGTAAAAATAGTCTAATTTTAGTTAATAAAATCTAAAACCATCTTAGTTTCATAACTGAATTTTCACTTTTGGGATTTCTCTGCAATTTAAGGTGTTATTTTTAGTTATGACAAGGGTAATAGGAAAAGTGTAGTGTCCTTGTACTCAGCAGTGTCATAACTGAAAAGCTCACAACAGTAAATGAATTGTCAAATCATTTCCAAACTGTGAACAGAGCTGCTCTCCTCTGAACATCCTATTCCCCCAAATGTATATTAGCATGGCTACCTGTCACTGCAGCTGTCCGTGGAAGAGGAGCAACTCATTCAGAAGATGATTTATTTACTCATTCAAAAAAAAAAAAAAAATCACATAAGAAATATTGTATTATTTCTTTAGTGAACACTTTCCAAACATCAATACTGGAATCGACTCAGTCCTTCTGGTACCAACCAGTTCATGGGAGCAAAACAAAACATTTCAGACTGAAAGTAATGATGAGATTAGACCTGTTTTACTGGACAATGTAACAGTTGCTGATTTCTTTTCGTATTTAGCTGCTGCTTGTTTTTTTCCAGCTTTCTTTCATTGATGCTCCCAATCTTTTAAATCGATTTTAAGTAATCAATAATAATAACGCCAACACAGAAAGGTCAGCAATTTGATTGGACTTAGTTTTTGACTCATGCCTTCATTTAGCCACATAGATGCATGGTTGATGCAGGAAGCTGAAACATGAGGAAGACCATTAGATCAATGCAATTTTCAACTAACTACTAATTCACAGAGGACATGTTTTAAAATACAGTTTTTTGTTTTGCTGATTGTCAAATGGCACAGTCAGTGGATCTAACGTCGATACACACTGTTGTCGCGCTCTCAGTTTTCAGCTTGTTGAGCCCACAGTGGGGGATCCAGATGTGCCATCTTGCCTCCAGAACCTTTTCTGCAGTCGAACGAAGCAGGGCAGCGAGACTTCACTCTCATCGTGGTTTAGTATACCAAATACAGCTGTTAATGAGGCTGGTGGCCTCTGGCAGCAAGGTGACAAGAAGCAGGGGTCCCTGTGCATATGACGAGGGTTATGTCTGGGCTTGCATGTGCTCTGACATCCATTTGTTCATATTCATTCACAGTTTCTGCATGTCTTCTGCTCTGCCAGCAGCACTAATAATCAGGCGATGATATGGAAATAAGAATGTGGTGTGCAGTGTATGTAATGTCTGTGGAGTCACCTACATTTGATCTATCAACTTGAAATTAAACTATTCCCTGACTGGAGCAATAGAGATGAGGGAGTTTCATAACTAAGCTGGGGGACTTTTTAAATTTTTTCCTACTGCTGCAATATTTGAATGGATAATATGAACATCTTGAGACATAGGGTGGTGGATCGTGTACAGTTAGAATTCAATAAATGGTGATATTACACCCCAAGAGCAGTATGTAAAAACAGCCTAATGTTCAGCCTTTTAAAATATACTGTAACCGTTTGTAAGAAAGTCCTCTGAATTTGTTAAAATTGGGGAAAAAACAGTCTGCGGCCTGCAGCTGAGATGTGGAAAGACCGACTTATTAATGACTCTAACTACCACTTTGCTTAGTGTGCTGTTGTTGTTTTTTTTCTCAGCCACTCTGTGTATTTGCTAAATGTGCTATCACAATATTCCTAATTTCCTTCAAAGACATCTTGTAACAAGAATACAGAAAATTATGCAATTAGAATTAAATGCAGGCGTTACCTTTAATTAAAGGGGATGAAATCTATAATCACGAGGAAACTCTGTACAGTAGGAACATAAGTTTCACTGAAAAATGCATGCAGAAACCATTTCAGATGAATTCTGCAGCAAAGTGGAGCAGTGAATGAGCCTGTAAATAAACCCCATTCAGGAGGGTACATTACATGTCTAAATTGATGCGCAATAGCTTCCAGATCTGAAAGTCACCAGCGCCGTTCGCTGAATGAAAAGAACTGCAGAAGTAGAGAAGGAGCTCCTCAGTGCCAGTCTGCAGTGACAGGTAGATGATATCTCTCTCAGCCTTAGCACGGCTGTCAGCATGGATGGATGAGCTTAGCGCAGGGTGCACCCAAAGCGTGAAGAAAGATGACAGTTTATTGTGTCATTAGGACGTGGAAACAAAAACACTGGAGTTGGAGTTGAACCAAACTTCAATAAACTTGCACTTGTGCATGTGACTGCGTGCAAAATAAACGGGCAATACTGCGCCCCGATTTGCTTAATTAAACATCATTAGATATTCTATAGTTTTGATTAACTGCTTCCTTTGCTCTGCTTGGTTATCTATTAAAGACAACAAGAAAAAAATTACCTATTATCTTTTTCAATTAGGCCGTTAGGTTAATTTGCCGTAGCCTTGCTTTTTGAGTGATAATTGTTAGTTCGAAACATAGTAAACAACACGGCACCAGCAAACTAGAATGTGTATATCTGCAGTGGTTAAAAAAATGACAAGAGGGACATGAATGGGAAAAACGTATTCACGTGGGATTATGGGACACTGTGACTATCAGAGATTTGTATGCAAAAGCAGAAGAAGACAGAAAAGCAGTGAAAGGTAGGAACACGTGGATGAAGGATGTAGCAGAACAAAAAGAAAAAGGATTTAGAAAGCATGAATTTGTGCCCACCAGTGTAAAATCAGTTATTATGCAGGGTGCGAGGCAGCTTCTGGAAACATAATTGCTCCATCTAAAATGGCGGTGCACTGTGCAAAAATTTAGGGGCCCACTTACCGCTGGGTTGTTTTCAAAACCTTTTTAGCCTCATATCTTCAGCTGCTCCAGTGGCTTCTTTTTCTTCTTCTGCTTCTTACAACTCACTCGCTCGTACCTTTAAAGTAGATGGAAAGAGAGAGAGGGAAAATGACAGAGAAACATTAATGAAAGGGACTACTAAATGAACAACCTCCTCAAGTGGTGGGTGGGGGGATTCAACAAATGCTGTGATGAGTTTCTCTCGCTCTCCCTTCTTGGCCTTTTGTGACCACAGGACGGCAGTTCTCGGGCGAGGAGGAGGCTTGCTGCTGATTGCCTGAGAGCTATGGAGTGCAAATCTGCATGAAGTCCCTCCTGGCTTCTCTTGATCATTTTCTCCTTCACATCTCTAATGAGCCTGGTCCAAATCTGTGGGTGCATGCATGTGCGAATTTGATTGATACTTGTTTTGATATTCACTCGTGCACAACAGGCTACTGCATTTATGGAATAAGTTGATGGTCTTAATATGAAATGTAATTGTAGGGATTCATTCTCATTTTTGTGTGTCTGATGAACAATTTTTGTGTTTGTAATATTCGGCTACTTAAATATATATATATATATATATATATATATAATATATATATATATATATATATATATATATATATATTTGTGCTATGGGCTTGGAGTTGGCCTCTAGTGTTGTACGCCACATCCCCAAAGTGGCCACTTTCATGAGTATTCACATATAAGTTTTTACTATTTCTTTTCCATATGGGTAAGTCCACCCTAAGGAACTTCCACTGAGCAGCTGAGGAAGGTTATCTCAAGTGAGAAGTCAGAGGAGCTCATCATTACCCCGTGGGTAGAGACTTCTTTCAGCTAACAACATGAATATCATTAAGAACAGCACGACATGGGCATGATCAATATCATGTGGATATGGCAAGTCCTATGTGGACAGCTTCTCCAAATGCACTTCAGCAGTAGTTTTGTACCATGTTTATCAGTGTCACTCTCTTTGTTGGGTATAATTGATTAATAATAGCACTTTAAGGATACATTACAGATTCAATTGTGCTGTTACTTGGGTTACAAAGACAAAAACAAAAGAACAAAAAAAGGCTATTCTCTTTGCTCCCTGTCAATCAGCTGATTTCAGTGCAGGGACTAGGAAAATCTGCAGCTTTTGAGGAGTAGCGTTGCACAAAAGGACAAGAGTGTGACTGTAAAGTGCCAGTTGTGTCCAGGACAGAAGTAACTGCATTACAGTGCTAACACAGCACTGAATCTTTGCAATCAACTTTATAGACAGCATGCTAGCTCAAAGTCGGTGAAGAACCTAGAGTGATTTTAAAGTTAAGTTTTATGGCGATCTCAGCCCAGCAGCCAGAGCCGGATCTTCAACAGGTAACAGTGACAAGACTCAGGATTCTCCATTTCTGCCTCTACATGTTTCTATGGAGAAATTGCAGTGGCAATCGCTTTGCTTTGTGTTCACACTTCAGCACATTTTAAACGAACGATCGTCTGTACGTTCTCATTAGGATCTCATTAGGATCGTTGTGTGGGACTGCAGACTAAAGTACATATTGTTAACTACTAATTATAGGCTAAGTTTCAGAGTAAAGTGAAATCAATGTAACAAATTATTTTCACCTGGTAGTAAATAAGTTACAATACGATTACTTATTAAAAGTAATTGTATTGGATCTGGTTGATATCATTGACTGAATGTTAATAGCAGCTACTAGAATCAGAGGTCATCTGATTATCAACTGTACTACAATATAAATATACCTGTGATCGAGGCATGATGCTGAAATGGAACAGCACTATAAATTATATTTAGAAGTGTTAGTCCTTTGTGTAATTTACTCACTCAGAGTCCTCTCAAAACTTTCTGTTGATCTGACAACTTTGTACATTTTTTTTCAAAAGAAAGGATACCAAATTTCCACTGACTACTATTTGTCCTCATCCTGATGTTATTGACTTCTCTCCTCCTCCCCCACTGTCTCACGAACTGGGCGCTGCCTGTAGACAATCTCCAAGCATCCTCTGTGGGCTTTATTACCTTGACGGCTGACCGTCAACATGATCCTTCATTCTGACAGGCCACCGGGGTCAGGCTGGCCCTCACTGGCCAATCAGTGTCAACTAACAGGCTAGCTGCAGTAGGAGTCCCTGGTATACTAACTACAGCACAAGGGAGAGTAGAAATTGGATGTGTGTGTAAAGAAATTTTTTTTCAGATGATACTGAGAAACTGTCATGTGTTTGTGTGGCCATGCATATCAGAAAGAGTGCAAAGCGCTTCACAGAATGGGCTTGAAAACAAGTACATAGCATAGTTTTAGTGATTTTCTGGGGGCAAAAAGTCACATATACAATAAATATGGCTGTTTCCACACATGAGCATACACTCCTGTGTGTCACTTGGAAAAAAAATGTGAGGCCAAATTCTGCAATACTCCCACACGCCTGGCTGCCAAGACGAGCGCGGGGGAATTTGTTTAATGTACAGCATTTATTCACTGCACACACGCTGTTGCACTACCGCTTCCTACATTGCATGAGACACTCCCTTGACCGGGCAAGTTGCCATTAATCAGCCAGAATGAAGAGCTAGTTGTATAGCATGGGAGCTAAAATACATTCAAAGTCAACATCCAAGAAAGTGGGAATCTTGCCTACCATCTTAACAATTGCATGCTCTAAGTGAGAGCGCAACTCTCTGATTGATTCTTTTTCTTTTTTTTTTGGTTTTGTTTTTGCTACACAACATGGGTTAAGTTACGCTTTGTCCAATCATGTGGAAAGCAGCTCCGGTTTGTTTTCTCATGACCCTGCAACATATTGGCATTGAATTTAGTCACCGTGCTGAGACAGATGGCCGAGCATCATGGTGCATGGCAAATTGGGAAATGAAAACATGCATGCACAGAAATGGGTATATGTGGTTTCTTTCCAGCAATGTGGTCACATAGGGTGCATTCAGAATAGAAGAACAAGGAACTGGGAGGCTCTAAGCATCCACATGAAAATAAAAAAAATGGCAACACAAAAAGAAGAAAAACACAAGGACGACCTACTCTTTGCAAATGTCAACAGGTATGCTGCTTGAAAAGTAAAATAAAAAAGCACACACCTCAACCAGATGATGAAATGTCAACACAATTTCTACTTCCATGTCACAAAAGTAAAGACTATATTTTTCTCTGAATGAAAAAAATATGTTGCTATGGCAGCACCTGATGTCTCTCTTTCCTCACCTTACACTCAGCCACCCACCTCCTCTGCCTCCATTGTCCTCCAGGTATTAAAAGACTAAAAATCAGATCTTCGCTGGGTAAGGAAAAGAAAACAGAAAGGAGAAGACAAATGGCGTGAAGAGAAAGAATGGCAAACGTGTGAGGGGTTAAGTTGATGTAATCAATAGAATGGTATCGGTCAAGGGAGATGAGAACGGGTGGAGAAGGGGACTAAGGTGGAGGATCAAGTCAGATAGTGAAAGGAGGAGTAAGGTGAGATCAGATGAAAAAACAAAGGGTTGAACGGAGAGAAGTCAAGGGAAATGAGGAAACTAAAAGAGCAGCTTCTATGTGACTGATTGACTGATTTGAACTTCTAGTGGTTCTCCCACAGTACACACTTCTCAAATGATATGCCACAGGTGTTTGAAATCCAACTTTAGATCTGCTCTCAGCTACTTCTCAAAAGATGTGCTGACAAAATAAGACTTTAACACACTGGAGCCTAAACTCAAGCTTTATAGAAGTGATGTGGAATTGGATATTATAAGCTTTTTCCTCCCTCAAAAGTTTGTCAAAAGATTACAGACACGGTGTCATGGTCCTGGGTCAAGCGACCCAGTATTTGAGTTCCATGTATCTTCTGTATTCATTTGCACCTAGCTTAGTTCACCTAGTTAATTTCTAGACTGCAGTTTAGTTTTGTTCCTTAGTTGTTTATGTCATCTTCCCCTGTACCAAGTCTCCCCGGTTCATGTGTCATGTCTAATCTCCATGTTTCCTGTTTTACTTTGAAAGTCTGTATTCACTGTCAGTGTATTCAGTTTCACTCCTCCTGTCCTGTCGTTAGGTTCATGTGTGTCAGCTGTGTTCCCACCCTCCGTGTTTCCATGCCCGGTCTGTTGTATTCTAAGTCATAGCCTTACCTTAGTTCATTCCCAGTTTAGGTTTCTGTTTAGTTATTGCTTTTGTGCTGCCCTTATTCTTGTTTGTTTCTCTTGTGTTACCAGCCACAATAAAAGGCTCGCCTTCTGTTAAAACTCACTCCCGTCTGCTCACTTGTGTACGCACCTGGGTCCATTACACGCATTCTCCACTCGGTCCGTCACAGCGGACCGTGACACACGGGCGCTAACATTACAAACCTAGCTTCTGTTGTTGTTCCTATGATCATTTTATTACAATAAGACAAAATTGACAGAGAGACACAGCCAGTGGGCAGCTTCCTCTTAAAGAAAGGACTCATTTTCAAATTCCATGAGAATATTTTGTCATTTGAAACAACCAATTTTTAGTTAAAGTTCATATCCCACTTAAAAATGGATGCTCCCCCCCGGATGTATTCCTTTTTGACTGATTTATGTAGGCTTCTTGACCTTGCTGCAAAGATAAATTCGCTATTGTCCTCAATCCAGTTATAGTGCGTCGAATAGGTTTTTATATAGTCATAACATGTAGCTGTCAGCATGCTTGTGTTTCTGAATATGATGTCCTTGAGAAAGTCTAAGTCTGACCACTCATTAAAAGTACTGGTTAAATAGAAAAATACAGGAGAAATTATAAATCTGGGAAGCACTGCTGGATTTCAAAACCTTTCAGCAAAGTAGGCAGATACCAGCTCAAACATGCTTTGGACTCGAGCTCTGAAAAACTAACACATGAAGTTTAATAACTGCCTGCCTTCCTTATTTTATTACATCAAATTCTCTATTCTAGGATGTTAATAATGAACGACAAAGAATGAAAATGACCATGTGCTAGTGTACTGTGTCTAGGAACCCACTGGCTATCATCTGATGACTTATCCCCCAGGGTGACCAATATTTTTGTGCCAGTGGACAGCCAGGCCAAGACTTTCTGCGTTGTGCTCAAGGCA